TTTTATTTTATTATATGCATTAAAGACAAAATGTTGTTTTTAAATATTTTATTTAAAAATGAAATATAAAAAAAAAATAAATTTATATAAAATAATATTAAATATAATTATATAACACTAAAATAAATTCTTATATTGTTATCCATTGTACATCTTCTTGTGGTTACAAGACAGCTAGATGAAAACATAGCTCAATTGTTTCTTTCGGTCATTCTTCCAATTTGGTCTTATCCTCTCTTCTTTTGTTCTAATTTTTTAACAATGTTTTTAATCAAATTTTGAGGAGAAAACTAACCAAGCAGAATAGGGCAATATTGGCTAGTTTATGTAAATGAATTACTCTATGTAATCGAAATACAAAGGGCTAATTGCACTAGTAGCTCCAGTTGGATTGACAATGTACAACAAAAATTTTAACTCATACCAAAGTTTAAGTCTCAAACCATAGAGATAGTTGTAATATTTATCTGATTTTCTCAAAATTCACTTTGTTCAAAGAAAAAAAAAAAGAGCTAACTATATATATCCTTACACCACAATTTTTAACCATATCATTTATACAAAATTTTAATAATTTATCTCTTTATTATAAATAATTATTAAAATTTATTTATTTTTTATCTCATTTTTTAAAAATTAATTGTCATTTTTATTTAAAAAATTGTAATAAATATTAACCACTTATAATAAAAAAATAAGTAGTCAAAATTTATGTAAAAGTGAATCTTAACTCACATGTATATATTTCTGTGTGTGTGTAAAAATTGTGTGTAGTAAGGTCATTTTCCCAATATTTTTTGAAAAATAATTTGTCTAAAAACTAACCTTATGATTATTATTTTTAAAAACAAACTATTGGATTAAAAATTATATTTATATAAATAGTACATATCAATTTTAGATTAATTTAACATTTACAATTCTTTGAGAAAAGAAGCTATATATTTAATAACGTTAACTTCTCTATAATCATCAAATTAGTTAAACTTATAAATTAACTTAAAAATTGAAATGTATAATCTACATTAAAAGAAAATGTAGTCTAATACTATTTTAAAAATATTAATAAATATATAGTTTTTAAAAGATGTTCTGTATAAAGAACATCTTAGAATAACAACCTGATTCTTAGGAGGAAAATACGATAAAATTATGTTATTTTAATAATTTTTTATTTAAAAAATTAAATATTTTATTTTTAAAATATAAATAGAATTGTTTTTTTGTCTTTTCTCATAATATTTTATTGAAATAACATAATTTTAGAATAGTTTTCCTCTTAATTTTTA